ACATGGCATGGGAAGACTACCCCCGCTAAGCCCATCTGAGCTGCCAAGGAACGCTGGTCTTCACGGGAAACAAGGCTTGGGACTTGCCCCTCAGGAACAGGCCTTCTCTGGAAGACAAGCAGGGGCCTCCCTGGCACAGGGCTCCCCACTCCACTGAATCACTCCTCAGAACCCAGGGAGAAACACCGGAAACGCCTAGGAGCTCATTTGAATATTTAGAAAAGTGTCCACTTTTTTCCTCGAACGATCTAACTTTCTTTGTGGTTAAGGCTAAGTCAATGAATGTAACGATGCTTCTCCCCCCAGAAAACCTATTGGGAGCTAATACAGAGAGCATACTGTTCCATAGTTCAATCACCTCATGCAGTATTGTACAATTGCTGACATCATCAGTTTCAAACATTCTCTTCCTTCTTGAGCTCCTTGACAGCAGCTCCCTTTCACTGCTCCCTCCCCCACCCCCACATCACTGTCCTCAGCAGCAGCCCCTGTTCTACTGCTGTCCCTATAGGTTCATCCATCCTGGGTCCATATACTGAAGAACAGAAAAACAATAACGAAAATTCAAGAGGGTGCCCCCCATGACAAAATACATCTGAGATAAGCCCCAATATGAACAAATAAAACAATTGGGGGGGGGGTGTAATGTATTACAGTATATTACTAAATTTTATTGGACAAACCTTTATTGCTAAAATTCAAAAATTATTTTTAAGCCTTCAAAATTCTCCTTCAAAAATGAAATACAGTCTCTTTTTCTTTCATTTTGTAATATTTAAAAATCATTTTATTGGGGGCTCGTACAACTCTTATCACAATCCCTAGATACATCCATTGTGTCGAGCACATTTGTACATTTGTTGCCATCATCATTCTCAAAATAGTTGCTTTCTACTTGAGCCCTTGATATCAGCTCCTCATTTTTTCCCTTTTCCCTGCTCCCCCCTCCCTCATGAACCCTTGATAATTTATAAATTATTATCATTTTGTTATATCTGACACTGTCCAATGTCTCCCTTCACCCACTTTTCTGTTGTCCATCCCCAAGAGAGGAGGTTATATGTAGATCCTTGTAATTAGTTCCCCCTTTCCACCCCACCCTCCCT